CGACGGCTTACGTAATTCGATCGTCGAGATCGTAAATTCTCACGGAACGCGACTATGACGATAAGCGCACACGTAACACGTTTTCAACTTGAATGAAATCGATCGAGCCTTACGTATCAATTAGCGTACCACGCGCGCACCGTATACATATCGCAAACTTGCTGCCAATGTAAAACGTATGTTTCTTTTTTACTCAAACTTACATTGCAATTACCAGACTACCAAATAATATTGTTAACATAGATCCAACTAAATAAAAATTGAAAACGCAGCGTAGAAATCAGTTCGCTGATATGAGAAAAACTCGAACAGTACTGTTATAATGATTGAAATAATGTTCGATATTAATAGAATTAGGAGATAAAGATATGTAAAGTATAAATCGATTTGCAGCCGGTTCGCCTCGTTTAGACGGCGGGTACTTGAAAAATTTAAGTGCTTCCCGTTTTAAACCAAAATCAATATCCAACAGCCTGGACGAATAAAAATACGCTAACTCGGTAACGATTATTTCGCGTTCCGGGTGGTCACTCACCCGCATTAATCTAATTACCAATGTTCAGCTCTATTCGTGTCTCTGAATATGTATACGTACATACAGTAGACCTCCGATAATCCGGCATCCAATAGTTCGACACACCCGACACGGCGTCATACTATGTAAGCCTTAACTGTGTACCATCGCGAACATCATTTGGCAGCGCAAGTAACACATTATCAATGGATTACAAATTTTTCTGCACTAAACGTATGAACGTACGAGAAAGTGCACGAGCGCAAACCGCTTTCATCTTGACTGCCTTTTGATTGCTCATATCGAGATTAAAACTGACGATTATACTATGTAATTGCGACCATGGATTCCGTACAAAGTGATTCGCGTGAGTGAACTCGTACGCGTGGCGTGAGGTAGAAAAGGAGAAGACAGTTGATTCATTGGGGGTATACAGCGGAGCCAAAATGGCAATTCGAGGGTTCGCCAACGAGCCACAATTGAGTTACACACGAGAAGACACGCTCTTCCTTCCATAAACAGATTGACACTCGCACGCGCATACACATACCACACACCCGGACTCATTCCGATACGATGTGACGTCACTTTTTCTGCAGTCCACGATGATTCTGTCGTTCCTACCTTGCAAACTCAAACGCTCGATTTAGCAACGATTCTGTAATTGGCGTACATGTAAATATATGTATAAAACACTTCCATTAATATTTCTAAAAATAGTAGCTACTGAACAAACTGATTCAATGAAACAGAATAAATGATGAAATGCCATTGTATGCAAAATTCGACGTATCATCATACACGAATTATGAAGATATTTAATATTTCATAGTACAATGAAATATACATCGTGCGAATTCAATTACTATCTGGCCGTACAAAATGCTATGATGTTATTCGGCTTCAATAACTTTGAAATCATTCAAACCTGTCCATCTCGCTACAGCATATAGTGAAATAAATGCGCATGCATGAAATCTTTCGAACGTGAGACAGGTTGCCCCAAACCGAGTATGAGAGACCAATATTTTTATTAGGGTGTCGACGGAAGTGGAGTTAAACTAGAAAGTCGACAAGGTCAGCATTGAGCCGCTGACCAGAGGAAAACAACGAACTGTGATAAAAGAAATGCGATACATACAACCTACTCATGATCTTAAAACAGTTAGACTGTGTAGTTCGAGTGTAGAGTCTACTAAATTCTCCGGGATCTACTTAAATATTGGGTTCGTCGAAAAGTAAAACTATAAAGATAATACAAACACATTTGAAACGTGTTTCTGAAACTGAATTCTACGTAATATACAAATACAAGGATACACGCACATTGTGTTCATTCTATTATTAAAAAGTAAAAGTACTTGCATGCTTTGATTAATTTCGCGAATACTACAAAACGTTTCCATTTCACATTTTCTTGGAAAGATTGCGAATTACATGAACCGAGATGATAGAACGCGTGTTATAGCGATCTTTGGTCTTATTAATTATCATAATCTCGCTCGTTACGTGAGCATTCAGATAACTATTCCGACTAATTGAATAATTGCGATTATAGATATTTAGGATTTACTGTCCGGAAGGAATAACATGTGTGCAAAAATATATTTCATGGAATTATCAGTGTTTAATAATGCGAAACGGATAACGTCTCTCCTTGGGCGATAGAGGTCTTACTCTTTGAAATGATAGAATTTTCAAAAATGAATCAATTACTTTTGCATCCTGTTTATAACTATTCAAGTATGGCTAATATTATGCTGTCTTCATCTACGTTGAAATGGATCAGGAATATTCAGAATTTCACATTTTATATTGGCGTTTCTCTCAAAACCATAGTTCTTGCAGTCACATTTGTTGCTACTTCGGGTTAGGTGATTAGTGTGACCCTGTGCATATAAACGATCCGTCAAAATACGTTCAAACGCCAGATGTTCTAGATGCTGTCGAGTAGAAAAGACGAGAGATAATGTAATAAATATAAATGTAGATCTCAGCCGGCTTTGAAAATCATTAAAACCGACTTCAGCGGAGCGGATATTTTCCCGTCCATGTGTCTTTCATTGGTTTTCTAACTTATTACAGCACATAGTCTTATCGCAATCTGCGGAACGAAAATGTCGATTTTTATGCGCGTTATCGACATACATCGAGACACATGTTTTTTCTAATTGTAAACGATGCTTGTTTTGCTTGTGCTTAAAACAAAAGATCCTTGGTTCAAAGACCGTGAAGCATCAAAATTCTCACGAATCTTCAATGCATTTGCGCTTTTCTGTTAAGGGGATAGACTGTCAATGTTACCCACAAAATTAACCAAAAATACGAGAAGACACTTTTCGTCCTTAGTCAAAAGTCACGTAACTAGCCTAGCCCCTTAAGTTTATGGGTCCGTTTTTTAGTTTAATGCTTTAATTGTACATATAATACAGGTATGTATTAAAAACATTTTTTTTTTAAATAAAATAGATTCAATAAAATAGATTCAATAAAATAGATTAAATAAAAAGAACACACTATTAGGTATTAAAACCCGTAGTGGTAAGTCAACTAGGAAAACTGAATCGATATAATATAATACTATGCCAGATAGTAAAATGTGAACATCAGCTTGTCTGCGATTCGTCTGTCTTTGCGAATAAGTGTATAGATACATCAACTGTAGGTGTCAGATACAAAGCAGGTCCTATGCAATTTCCTTCTAATTCCGCTCAATAAGGAATAATTGACGATGAACGAACTAATTAATCGATTAGTCCTAAAGTATTCGAGATAGAAAAAAATTGTATACGATCTTCTTTGCAGTAATAGCAATGTCTACAACTTTTACTTTAAACATTTATCGAAATTTTGATAAACAAAAAATTTTTATTTTTCCGAGATTTTGCCAAATGCGCCCTTCAAATTTTGCGAAATATTCGTTTTTCGCCAATAACTGCTTACCTATTGCCGCTAGCGAAAAATGTTTTAAACAAAAGTTGTAGGTACCGTTAGAAGCTACAAGTTTCGTATAAAACACTTTTTTGTATCGTCAATAATTAACGAATATTTTGCAAAGAACTGACTTCCAGTTTTTTGTCAAAATCGAGGCTAGCGAAAAATGTTTCATGCAGAACTTTTTTCCCAAAAATTTGCTATTTCGTCAAGGGAACGGCTGGATTTTGTCAGTGCCAATAAAATGTCGATTAATCGTACTTAATTCGTCAAATAATGGATTTAGGGAAAAAATACATAGGACCTTTCTTATACATAAATATATACATACACAGATGATGAGAATTGAGCATTTTGTCCGAGATATCTGAACAAAAGAAATGAAGAAATTGCGAGTGCAATTAACGATAAGATTTCACCACATCCGAGTGATTAAAAAGACACTAGAAAGTCGCCTTCGGTTACCGAAGAAATATTACGGAAGAAGCGAAACAGGCACACGTGCGCATTGTAGTACGTAGTCTTATCAGCGATTGTATGCGCGAATCAACTTTGAACTTTCGTTCGCTTTTATAGTGGCAGGGGGATATCGGGGTGAGACGTTCGACGTAATTCTTCCTTTTATTTATATTTACAATTTAATCTTAACCCCTTGCACTTTTGCTTGTATTTTAATCTTAACCCTTTATTATATACTCAATTACTCTCTGCTTTTGATTTATTTTTCCTAGAAAATCAAATGGAGAACTTCAATTTTAATAAAAAACCTTTGTGCAGGTTGAGGCAACGTCTAAAAAAGTCCTAACTGCCACCAACAGATTACTTAATACAACAAATACGACATATATTTAACCATTAATATGTTAAAGTAGTTAGTTGTTATAAGATTATACAATAACTTGGAAGTTACGAGAACTCGTCAACAGATTTTTACAGTATACTATTCACTAGTGCCGTAATGATTTTTCTTTTCGACTAAAAATAGACCGTGAATCGATGTACATTATTTTTAAAAAATATTAGAGGATAAACCGATATAAAAATTGATAAACAACATTCATTCTAGAAGTGTAAACTCTGGCATAGGTTTCACATTCAAAAGAACACTGTACACACAATTCTATTCCTACAACGCGTTATATAAAAATATAATATAATATTTCGTGTATGCGTTTACGTATAAAAAATACGCGATATGATACAGTAACTGATCAAATGAATATTTAAAAATTATCACATACTGAAAAAATTTCTTAAAATAACTACTGATACCTTTTCACATTACTATATTGATGTGATTCTCTCGATGAATTGTTATTTATTAATCATTATTAACTATTTCTTATCTACTTCGAGATTTCTCTCAATGTCCGCAGATATTTTGCTGAGTTCATACCGCACTTACGTGTACTGTTCATTAACTGAAAACATTTGCAACCGAAGATAATAATTCAATTTTTAGAACTTCGATTTCTACTTCGTTTGACGGTATATCGATCCCACGTGTTTGTTATACTCTCGCTATGGTACATTTCAATTAAGAGTGACTTACCGGGGCTTGGCACCATCAAGGATTACAGCAGACTGATAATCCTTAGCCACTGGTAGCATTTACAGCTCATTTGTGCGCACTGAACCGTCATCGTCTTGCTTAATTATTATTCCAAGTCACCGAGTTACTTTCCATTCAGGTAGTCTGGCCACAGCATGATCAATCAATCGTACGTACCGCGTAAAACCAGAGGTATCATGCACAAGCACTATCGTCCGAATTCTGGAAACGCATATGTAATTCAACAACAAACACTTTTAAAACACTTTGAGGGAAACCGTCGCGGTTGCGTATACAGACAACGGATGGATCGAGTCCATCGAGGAACTGTATGAACGGCAACACCAAAGGTTAGGGAAGATCGGAGCCTGGGATACGAAGAAAAGCAGATACGTGAAAATGCGTTACGGAAAATATGAGAAACATCGCGGGTATCGAAGACACACCAAGGTAACGGGATATCGTGAGGTATACAAGAACCGAACACCGAACACTAACGTGAGAAGAGTTCGCGAATTGCGGTAGACGGTTTTACATGGCGTACACTGCTCGTAATGTTCTTACTAAAAATCGCAACGAATTCGCGAAATTCACGTACCGCGTCTACTAGCTCCATCTTGACTCGTGAGTTTAACCCGGACGTTCTTTTCTGTTCCTCGTCGCCGTTGCCGTCGTCGTCGTCGTCGTCGTCGTCGCCGTCGCTGTCGCCGTCACCGTCTTCGTCGTCGTCCTCGTAGTCGTAGTAGTAGTAATAGTAGTAGTAGTAGTAGTAGTTGTAGTAGTAGTAGTAGTAGTAGTAGTAGTAGTAGAAGTAGTAGTAGTAGTAGTAGTAGTAGTACTAGTCGTAGTCTTTCTGTTGGTCAGCGTCTTCCGACCGTCTTTCACTCCCGATATACTCTCGCGCACACGCCGCTGTTACTCACTAACACAATAAATCCATTGTGAGAGAGAATTCCTAGCAGCACATTCCTCGTGTACGTAAGTATACGGATATACGAGGGTGTACAACGGACTTCGGCTCGAAGCGACTTGAGCCGAGCTGAGTCGCTCGCTCGCTGATGTCGTCACGAGGCGAGGGAAGAGACAGAAGAGAAAGACATGGGCTGAGAGAGCGAGAAAGGTAGAAGCAAGAGAAAGGGAGCCGATACGAAAGGGGAGACCTAGTGGGGTAGCAATGTGAATGCGAGAGAGGAAGAGAGAGAGGGAGGGTTAAGGAGAAAGAGAAGATTAAAAAGAGATCGAGCGAGAGAAGGCGACGGAGGAGAGAGGTAAATACGAGTCGCGTATGGTCGGTCGTATAAATAGACGGAAGACGATATAGTGGCAGAGTATAGTAAAACTTCTAGGAGGAGGCAGGTAGTGAATGCTCGTGACAGAGCGGCGAAACTACCTCGGTTACTTGCACCGCGGGCGCACGGAGAGTCACTGACACACAATGCAATAGGTTCGCGCACGTGCATACACGAACACCGACACAAGCGCGCATGTTCCGCGTACGCGACCGTGTTCCCAGAAGGAAGCTCGCTCGCGAGCAAACGAATAGCACGCACACGAAAGAAGAACATTCTCTCGCTGAGGCGAGTTCACACGCGCACGCGTAGCAACACACGTATTGTACATGCACACCGGGGCTGTGAATGCCGTCGTCGATGTGGTCGTGCCATCGTCGTCGTCGTCGTCGTCGTCATGGTCGTCGCGGTCTCGTAGACCGCCGCTACACGGTGTCACCTATGCACCGCGCGAATATCGAGGATGAACGATAAAAGAATCGAAGCACGAATTCTCCGCGGACTGTCTTGTCGTTACTGTCACTGTCACTGCTCCGTACAATTCTTCGGGACGACTCCTTCAATCTGAGCAGACGCGTGTGCACTCAAATGCGTCACGAAAATCCGTCACAGCGTCACAGCAAACCGACCGGGAGGAGATGGCGACCACAACACCGCAACACGGAAATTTACGTTCGTCGTCGATGCACGCCTCTCGATCACAGTTCTTCCATTTACCGTAGCTGAGAAAACAACTCCGATTAAACGAACTTTATTGACATCTTTCTCTACGTGCTCCCGAAGATCGTACGTTGCACACTGTATTGTATACTGTACTGTACGCCTGTACGCGTTTCTCGTCTCCTCTCTTTCCTTCTTTCTCGCTCGAATCGCATCGTACGCAAGACCCCTCTCTCCCACTTTCCGCCTCGTTCTTTCCCGTCACACGACACGTACAGACTCAGGCTCGGTTGCTCAACTGAACTGGCACACTGGCACTGGCTGCGACTCGTCGAGCCATATAACCAAGCCAGCCAACGCGCGCACACACTCGGCCGCCGTAACTACATACTACTACCGTCGCTACTATTGCCACCACCACCACCACCACCATCGCCGCCGCACCGCTGTTACTACTACACCTTCTCCTCGTCCACCTCCACCGTTGCGCCTTCGCTTCATATCTTGTCAGCCACGTATAGACGCACACCTTTACCGCAATACACGACCACCGAAACGTTCGAACGAGCCGAGACGGCGCGCGCGCGCACTCACTGACAACCGCTGCCTCGTTCTTTTGCACACAAGGAACGAGATGCTTCACGCACTCCCGCTGCCTTGCTCGCGCATACAACACATACATACACTGCCGATCCTCGGCTCTACGAAACGATCCCCGGCAGAGGTACTATAGTCTGCCTTATAAGAGAGCGTTTGCAACCCCTACAGCGAGAGTCAAAAGCAGTTACACCCTCACGGTGCGGAATTCATTCAATAAAACGAGCCTAATTCATAATCAGCAATGACAGATAGACTCATTCATATAGTTCTATGTTTCGATGATATCGACTATACTCCTTTGAATGAATGCAAAGATTTCGAACAATTTTATTATTGTCATTTAAATAACATATTCCTAAACGTAATTTCTTTAGTATCGAATTTAATACACGTAATCGTGTATATAACGAAGAAAGTGATGCAGAATCATCGATACTATTGAAACCTATGTTGCTGAATGCTACGCTGTCAAGAGATCAGATTCTAAGCCCCGTTTTGAGAAATTCTCTGATGCGAATGTTTCCACTTTCGGTTTCAGATAACACCGTATATTACGTTTACAAATGTACTCGATACAATTTCCGTGATGTTTCGTTCTGCTTTTTGCTTTCCCAACTACTGGATGTCTTTATTATTGTCGACCATTTCCTGAAATACACGATATTCCTCTAAGACAAATATTTGAATTATATCGTTGATGAAATAGAACAGTAAAATAATTTGTATTTTTTCATTTTTAAATAAATAACGAAGGTCGCGAGTTTAGTTGTCAATTCAATAATATTTATAGATCGCATGATAAGAAACCGTATAGAGGATATATGTATAATTGATGTCGTCTTGTACGAAATTATATGAAAAACAATTAAAGGCGTAAGAATTAATATTCTATTCTTAGTGCTCTTGGTAAGTACGCAATTTCGTCCCGCCCTTTAACAAGCAAGCAGCGCGTACTAATTCATCGGTACATATTAAGTATGCAATGATCAATAGTTCGATAAAGTTTGAAGTACACGTGTCCGATACGTATAAGGAGAATAAAAAAATATTTTATAAAAGCGCAATATATTGTATAAAAAGAACATAAAAGGAATGGCTACTATTTATACGCTACGGAGCGACTATTAAATATTTTTTATGACACTGAATGCACGATTCATGTTGTTAGTTGTAAACATTTGATTCCTGATAATAAAATGCCTTTTACGATTCCAAGGGAATTGTTTCCGTTGCTTAAAAACATCAAGCGACAAACGTAATTCATTCTTTTAATAAATGCTGGCTTTTCACGGATCAACGCTGTGTATTTATTCCATTCCTATTAATACACGCACGATCACAAACGAGATAATTATATTCTCCGCCTGCGTTTGCGAACTGTATTCGTAAACTACAAATATTTGCTGAAGATACTCAAATCGCTCGCAAGAGATGATCATCTGCTTGCCTAGACGTAGCAACTTCTAAGTCAACATCATTATTCATCGTTCAAAGCCTTCGAATGATGCATACAACACACGAGAATCGGAGTAAACGGTGCCAGAATACATATAATGACGAACGTATCTGAACGCGTGAAATGCCTTTTAGAAAATTATCACTTCTTTATACTTTGTCACACGATATGAGGGATCTGATCCGTCAGAATCCTTGTTACTTTCTATTTTATACTTTACGACAGGCGAATTCTTTTTGCCTTATAATCAATTATGCTCGTTCCTAGTCATCGATACGTTTACCAGAGAGAGTGTAAATATTTAAAGTAACAAATTATTGTACGTAACATCGTTGCGTGTTATACTTGGAGGAAACCTTTTCCGTGTCTGGCGTGAAGTGAGTAAGAACACGGAGTTATCCACGTGAAGTCCCATAACGAGGTTACGCCATTCATCGATAGCGTACGAAACTCTATGAAGGGAGCAGAAGCAGAAGGGGAGTCGAGTCACTACAAAGTATGTATGTACTATGCGCGGTATATACCTCATTGATAAATTCTCCACCGGACGTGTTTTACCTTTAGCATGAAATTCGGTTAGGATTCGCGTACTTAACCGTCTGTTTGTTCGATTAGGTCAATGCAAGAGCTTTTGCGAGTTTTACTATGAACGATTAGATTGTGTTATCATATCGATTTCATTTACGATTTCCTAGCCGCAATCATGTACGAGAGATATTGGTAAACGCGAACTCTCATTTTCAGTTCTCATTTCGCATTTTTTTATTTGCTGCATTCATCACGTGATCGAATGAAGAATTTATCGATTCACAGAATATATCTAATAGAGTGGAGCAGTGGATATCGTAACGAAAGATTGATACGTTCTATCGTGAACTAAATCTTTCGTACGTGAACTAACGTTGCAATTTCGAGTATTCCCGGCGAGAGCCTCGTAAATCACGTTACGCTGAATTACGAAGACGTGAAAGAGTAGAGCAATCACAGCGAAGTTGTACGATAAACTCGGCAAGATATCCATTATCTATCTCACGTGTATTGTTGCTGCCCGGAAAAATTACACACAATTGATTTATCCATGGAAAAGTATCTCCGCTGGAATGGATTAACACTAATTGTAAGATACCTTATAATAATGCAATAGTGTGACTGTGCTGTTCGCTTAACCACCATGTAATAATATAAAAGCTATCAAATTCGAGAATACCAATGATACCTTAAAAATGTAACAAGCGAACTTTTATTTGGAGAGAACCGCAATTGTGGACTTATTAAACTGTAAACAATTTTCATCCAAAATATTCCTACGCTTCTATTTCATTGTTAACCGAAACACGATAATTGACTTGCACGTCGGATCGAAGTCAAGACAATTTAGATAACAAATCCTTCAATGGATCTTGAAAATACACTTTCAATTGATCAGACAGTACGGTTATCGATAGGACGATAATCGCGAACGATTATCTTATTAGAAATATCGTACCACGCGATGCAACGAATCCCGTCGTCGGGCATAATTCGTGAACACGATATCTATACGCGCTGTTAAGATCGACAGTTTCGCTGCTGCAGACTAGCAATGATAATACTCGCGAATGAGTAATCGTCGTCGACGACCTACGTTCATTGAATACTGACCACGCGTATGACGTGCGTTCACTTATTCGACACAGAAGCAACAAATCATGTGGAAGAAACCGCGTCGGTCAGAGAACCGGTATTAACGGCAGACTAACATATTACGCACGAAATTCTAATTTTCCATTTTCTCCGCGAGGGAAAGTAAAAATACGGATTGCAGTAATCCTGGACATAAATCCTGTGTACAGGTTCACCTGCTCTACTGCGAGATTTAGGTAGTTCGTATTCCAGTGACAAATACAAAACGGAAAATATTAAATACATCTTAGACGAAGCCTGCCTCGATCCGTTCGTTCCGCTAGTCCCAATTACAGAATGGCACGTACGATACATCCGAAGGCGAGAAGTACGGATTACATAATAAATCTCGCGCCTCCGTTCTCTACGGATGTTTCACGGTAACAACGCGGCATAACGTCTTTTTTCCTTCTTCAACGGCCGTAATAGCTAATCGATAACTGGTTCTCACTGTGAGGCAAGGAAAAACGAGCGAGGCGGTGTCGTGGAAGGACGTCAATAAGTTACAGTTACACAGTGCTTAACAGTAGCCGTTGAATGAAAATCCACAAATAAATGCGTGAACGTCGCGAGACGATGCGTAATCGCGGAACTGGCACATAATACTACATGTATTTATGCACGTACGCGGTGTCTCGCCAACTTTGTCTGCTTGAAATACCTTCTTCATTTCAAATAAGGAAAGAAAATGCTGGGTCGTACGAGTAATTATTTAGCATATTTTCACAATTACGCATAATAGTTTATCTATGAAAATACTAAGACTTTGTACGAAGACAAAATAAATTGACCAGCAATTCTCTTGTATGTCAGCTATAAAAAAAAGATCATTGCCGTTTTAAACTTTATGTGTAATATTGGTGCTCATTGTTCAAAGTATCGAAAATAATTAAGGCCGAGCGAGTTTATGGTACAGCCCCTGTAGAACAGAACCGACAGCGTACGTTTACGGAAGGAACGTAGGTATGTATATCAAGTATTTTTTCATCGATGCTAATGCAATTATAAATATGCATATTATGCAAAGCACGTACGCGCATCGAACAGCTATTACCTAATACTCCTTATAGCTGTGGTTCAAATAAAAATAGAGACTGTTCGCATTGCTGCGTAACTAATTGTAAAAAGAACTAACGATAACTACTGTAGATACAGCGAGCAACGATAGAGTACAATATAAATGAATATCGGTAGAATTACTTGACAAGAAAACTACAAGAAATGCCTTCGTACAAGTATACACATATCGCGACTTATCGAATAAAAATTACTCGAGTGGATATGTAGATTACATTTTATTGATCCCGCTCTAATTATAAATTAACCGCGATTGATTCCGTCTCAGAATCGTTTCACCTTTCACATTTGCGCGAGGAAAATCCCTAAGCCTGCTCGTCAGTCTTCAGAACAATTTATAAAATGCACTTTCATATAAGGCGTGTAAGGCGTGTAAGAGTAACCTGCACCTAAACCAAATTAAACTTGCGACGGTTTAATCGAATGTTTAAATAACGAAATTCACCGGAAATCAAATTTTTTTCGTCCATTTATAGTGAAATATTCGTTGGTCTCTTAACAGCCGTATTTTGAGAGGCTAAAATTATGCCTATTTTAATTTAATTAATCAGTGCATATCAACTCTACGTAAATAGACTTTGATAATGATGCCTAAGGATGATTTTTAAGGAAGTTTTACACGATTATTTTACAACTTCTTTCATTAACGAACGTCCTCATAATGGAACAAAAAATTAAGCTAATATATAATATATTATCGTAAGTTACACATGGTATAAGTATCGTCATAGAGACTCAATTAGAATTTGACACCCCGTACATTGATATCTGACCACGTAAGTAAAATAAATGAAACGATAGTTATGTGTAGGGCCACTCTGTGCGTACTTCGATCACGAAGCTCGATCGAGGTGCGTCGCCTGCATATTCTAGTCTAGTGGGTAATCAAACAAATTACATTATGTGGAATTACATGCTGAAAAGCCCTGTCTATTAACCACCGTCTGTGGGCCGCGTTGGTATTGGTATAAATGTGATGTACGTGTAAGCATACGAACGAGATACGCGTGACGCAAATATACATGTACGGAGAGACTTTCGATTGATTCTGCGTGTAATAATAGCACAACGAGGTGGTGCTGCCGGGCAGTCTGGTAGCGTACAACTGATTACCAAGTACACGGACTAATATCGTTAAGATGACTCTGTCAAATTATCTTTACCGTGCCAGTGAGAGTGGCAAAATTTTTGCGGGATCGCATTCCCTCGCGTCCCTTACAAGAATTTTGTAAAACACGAGCAACTCAAATTTCTCATGAACATGATTTCGACTAATAAACGAAGGGATAACACGATTCTTACGCAATGCGATTTTACTATAAAAAGTTTTTACTCTACAATAATCTGTTTCGATTGTTTGTAATAGTTCTTAGTTTAACACATTACGTATTTTTTTAATCTGGCGCAAACCAACACGACGAGGCGCTGTCGCGCTCCTGAAAATATTTCATTCAACGTTTTCGGTCCGGTGTTGCCACGTGCCAAGCATTGATCGTGTACGTCGTCTGACATATGTCTATAGATCTATTCAGACGTCTATTTCAATGCTGTGTCACCTATAGGTATCACTATCCGCAAGTATCCGAGTAATTAATAAAGTATAAAACGAACACGTTCGATAAATCAGCCACGAGCTGGTTAAAATAAAAGTCTGATACGCAGAGATATCTCCAACAAAATTATAGTTCGAGTTCGTACTTCTGTTTCTATGGCTATGAATGAAGTGGAGAATCAATTTTTGTTATTTGTGTAAAACACAGTTTATACAACATTCAAAGATGGTTTCCGAGGCGCCAATCAATAAGCATTTCAGAAGAGACACTGCCCGTTTTTCATCTTTCTGTTCCTATCGTTACATTTAAACCGAAATGCAAAAAAAGTGCGTTAATTCTGGCATACATACGTTCTACGATCTTTTGATACAGAGACTGTGTGCACACAAAGAGCACGAGAACGAGTACGGTTGTATGTATGTATGTATGTATGTATGTATGTATGTATGTGCGGGCGTCTCGACGCGCTTCTCAGCGACCCTCGTGAAGCGTCGGCGCACCGGTAAACGCGGTTAGCAACAGATTTGACGGCGAATCGAAATCGCCGAGTCCAAAGCTGTCATCTTAGGTTTGCGGTTTCACCGGAATTGTTCATGTAGTTGCTTATCACACGAGATTGACCAAAAAGTAACGTCGGAATTTTTAATAAACTTTTACCGACCAGTAGATAAAAATATTTTTTCAACGAAATTGTTCAAACAATTTAGGGATAATCGACTGTCCTGATTAATCATCGAAGAATATTCACGTTCGAATCTTGTCGAGAGAAAGAAGAAGGAATGGGCGCTCGTTAGGCTTAAACGCACCTTTAATGCGGTTTCGCTTCCATCGTAATAAAACGTAATGCGGCCGGAAGTGAAGTCCGCCACGTAAGAGCGGCTGAAGTTTTGTTCGGAGCAGAGCTGCGAGCGTTACAAGCCAAATTTCGGAATCGTTTCATAACCGATGGCGGCTTGCCCAATGTATCATTGATTGGCACCGGTAATAGAGCATACGTGGAAAGGGCAGTCGAATTCTTCGGCCGTTTGGCAATTGGCGTGCATCGAAAACTATCTCGACTGCCCACCGTTCGTTCCTTTTTCTTGATTTTCCATTTCGTTCATTTTGCACTCTACGGAAACTGTATAGTATTAATAAACGTCATTTCGTTATAGTAATGCTATTTATAGGAAAATTCAATAGTCGCGTGGCGAGAACGCGTATCTCAACGCAAAACCGGCACTAGAGATTCGATTCCCCTCTCCAACGTGAATTTAATTGTCACGAGAAATAAAAAGCTGCCAAGGCAAATATACATTGGGGTATTAAAAGGATAAAAAGCAGCCTCGTGCTCGGGGAAGAGTAAGAAACTGCACATAGCAACAACCACCGAGCTCGCTTACACCAGAAATACGGTGACAAAGACGAGCATAGATCCGTGGTATTATTCAATGAAACAGCTATTTTCGTATCTTCAATCAAATAAATATTTGACGATTTTATTACGAAATCTTGAAATTTTCGTTCTTCGATATTATTATAGTGAGTTGCATTGTACGTGCATGTATATTAAGCAATGTGCCTCATAAATGACAAAAGGTAATCCTTTATACCTTTGATCTTATCGATATGTCCAATAATTTGCAAATGAAGTCTATAGAAAAACGAATTAGCATATCAAGGACGATAAAACGCGCTGAATAACAATGAACTCCATCGATGAATCATAACGTGCTCTATCATCTTTATAGGAGAGACGGAAGTATGAAGAAATTCTGCGTACTACGTATGTACATATTTCATTTACCGATTAAGGGAAAAAATGGCGATGTGACGACGAAAAGAGCAGCGTGCAATCTCAGACTATGCAGTACTTAATACAATAGTTACGCGCATAATGCGCGTACATACATATAATATTATAATACGTAACAGCTCTAACGAAATGTTTTATTGAAGAACTGACTCCGTATGAATATCAAACCTATTTTTTGCTATCATTAATCTGACTGTGCACGCGAGCTGCGTCGTTTAGTTCATCGTTTGCACTGCATCGGTGACCCTAGTCGGCGAAAGTTCTTTTGTTTACTCGAGAAACACCGCCTCATGCAATTACATGAGTTCCTTTTGCGAAATCATGTTTCGTATAAGGGCGAACAATATGCAGCGAGATGTAAGGGCGAGCAATGTAATGTAACGTGACGCCGTTGAACGGCCAATCGAAACCTACCATTTTAATTAACACGGCTAGACTTGGGAGGCTTTGCAAACGCATTGGGAATCGTTATCGCTCGCAGAATGAAGCGTGCCAAGTGAAACTGGGTAACTTTAAAAGACGGCAAAAGTATGGCGAAGCCATTACGTGGTTAAGCGTGTTACATTACTCGATCTGATACTGCGACAAGATACTAACTAGGAAAGTTCAGGTATCGACTCTTAAACGATTTGTACGTGTGAATATCTGCTATCAGTATGTAGACATTTTTAAGTCCTGCGGAGGAGGTCAATTGTAGTCTTGGATTTCAATTAATAGACGAATCACGAGAATGAACTTTAAGATTTCGTGTTAGGTTGCAGAAATTATGATCAGAATGAGACCGTAGCAAGAATATAATATTTGCGAAAATATCCTAAGGAATTAAGTTATATGTATGCATGTGTACATAGTCTGCCGATTAGACATAATCGATACATTGTAGAAACGTGCTTGCTGGGATGACGCGTGATGTATCGAATGAATTCGTTGTCAGACGAATCGTATGACCGTATCTAACTTTCACGAGGCGATCGTTCGGCTCGTTCGCGTTGCACTTATATACATTTACATGCATAATACATACATGTACATGTATGTACATAGGTATCGTTGCCTCGCGCCTAAGCATTAAGCCGAGATAAGCATACATGAATGCATACAGTAGAAATCGTTCACTATCATTATCTTCGTAATTCATTCTAAATAATATACCAGAATGTATAAAATGAAACAAATTGTAAAAAGTAATTAACTGGAAATGTTAATGTATAATGATTTCTAGCCAGTAAATGTTCTCATTGCATGTACATCGTATCTGTTGTCTTGTGTCTGTTGCATGTCCATACATTGTTTCCTCTTTTTGAAAATATTTCCTCTTATACAAAGACTAAAGATACGCGCGTCTATATGAAAAAGATTAAGGAAAAGGACTGGCTCTTGGTTGTACTTGTATGACATAGCTGCAAAATGCAGTGGATGATTTCTTATTAGAAACCCCTGTGTCGATTCATAAGTATACAACGTTTCTCGTATCACGAACGAGTTCGATCCCGTGGAGCTCACGTGCCGTAAATTATTCGGTGAGAATAGCAGAGCGGCCGTGCCGTAACGCATGCGCGTGTGGCCCGGCACTCAAAGGCAGAAATTAAACCGTGGATCGCTTGCGATCGAAATAACTCGCGATGGGGAACAGGTTTCCACGACTTCGTGCGATCCGATTTGCACCATAGATTTCTGCGATACACATAATCTGTAAATCCGCGGAACCGACAGATCTGTCTGTCTTTTCATTGATGCTAGACTACTGAACAGCGCTCTCGCTTTACAATCAACAGCAATTCATTGACTATCAAGTTTTCTATTTATTCTACCGTACACCGTTAATAGTAGAAATTTTTTATAATAATTGTAATTAACCAGGCTTTTCTAGATAATGACTGCAACTTTAAGAGTCAAGAAAATTGATATTAACTAAATAAGATAACTTATAGACTGCTGAAAAGACTCCACGGTCATCCACCTCGTTCTACCTCGTTGTTCTATCTTTGGTATCTATTTTCAGGTCACACACTGCGTATACTACTGATACTTCGCATATTCTTCACGCATATTACGCGAATACCTATGTACATGCACGTTACGGCGAGAAGTTTCGTGTTGACGCACGGGTTTCACGTCAGCCGAGTGGAACGATACTTAATTGCATTTTCACCTACGCTGATTGGTGAACGCACAACTTCTAATTTCACTCTCTTTGTATTTTTTTCGCCTGCTCTTCTCACCGTGAATGACGAAATCAAGGACGGCGCGCCACGATGAGCATTCTTTCTTTTCTCTCAACCACATCTTTCTCTTTAACTCCCGTATCTTAACAGTAACAGTGCTGGCCCTGAATCAGTCTTTACCTGCTGCCTCTGTCGTGTCCATGGCAACGAGCTCGCGCGACGTCCGAACAAAGGCGAAGAGGCGGCTATGCGTGTTGATAGTACGTAAGGGGCAGAGGAAGAAGGGGCAGGGAAGGACGGACGGGGAGAAGCAGGAGGCGATAACAACCGATATATGTACTCCTCGATCCTCGATCGTCGTACAGGCGGCGTTACCGTCGCGAACTCTCCTCGTTTGGAAACCACTATCATATCACCAACGCACCTTCTTCCATGTCGTATGCACGCGAAAATCGCAACCTCGGCTGGCACTGACGTCGATTTACTCCTTAGCTCACTTGATTGACTAACGTAAACGGTCACGTCAGATGTTGAGTACCGAAAGAAAAAAGAACTGAACGATATCGGTAAAACCGTGCGCGCTCGCAGCGGTCCTATTCGCGTATTTCACGGGTTAACCTCCGGTCCAGTACTGATGCACCACGGTTACGACGCGCAGAACCCGATCACGGTTGCCACAAGAAAGAGAAAGAGGGAATCGTGAAGCGCGACGCTCGGCCAGGCGCCATTTACAGAAACGCACGCATCACCGCCTGCTCCCACCCTCCGATCCGCCGTCGCGATGTATTCTGTCTCGCTCTCCCGATCGCGTTCCTCTCCGTTCCTCGCGCATCGTGCTTCTCCCACTCTTCAGTCTAGCCTCGTCCTTTTCCCTTTTACTCCTTCCTTCCTTCCTCCCCTCTCTGACGTATCTATCCGACCTATCCCAATTACAGCGAACGTCCTTGAGGTGACTAACACCTCGTCCTCCGTCGCTTGTTGGGACGAAGAGAGATGGACGAAAGTATCTTTGAAGAGGTGGGAAAGGTGGCGATGGTGGCGGCGAAGAAGGAAAAAGAGGAGGTGAGTGGAATCACCGAACTCTCCCCTTGTTGCCGGGAACACGAGGCAACAAGGTAGCGTGCGTAAGTACTTTGACGTTACTCGAAGAACAAAGACAGAGAAACAAGAGCGGCGAACGTCCGCGCCGCGCGTACACGTTACGCTCCGGCTTTCTTGAAGCTGTAAGTAAAAGGAGAGGGAGGGGAGGATAACCATGCTTCTCAAGTATCTGTACGTGAGAACGAGGAGGTTATTCACTGTTCCACGGAAATGTTCGAGTGAGCGATCATGTTGCTACGGTAGCAGCCTCTTACATATAAACTCCGATTGTTGCGCTTGTACGAATACATTCGCGTTCATTCGTCAATAATATGAATCATTGATGAAGTCAATAATCTATCGACGCATCTTATGATAGCAATTTTTATTATACTGATAAAATGAATTGAATTATATTTGGTCAGGGATTCTATTACGTTATTAAAATACGTTATATATTCTTAATTGAACTTTTGATTCGTATCTTAGATAAAAGTCATACCAGCACTGCGTTGAAATTTTTCGTCTAAATATGAGAGAAATAAAAAATTTGATTTGTGAAGCGGTACGGTACCATATTTATATTAAATCTACGTCTATCGTCTAATTCTTTGTCACTTTTTGTTACTAATTGTTTGTTCATTTAATAATATGATCGTGTATTTCGATACTTCATACTACTACTACATACTACTTTAATAACAAATGCGAAAATAGCGATAATAATGCATGCCTATCGTTAGAGTATACGTATGAACTCGTCGTTTCTGTGATTTCCGCCATATCTTATCCTGTAATTGTATTTTACTCAAATGAGATATACTCGATATTATTAGTGTAACGTCGATTGATTATGACAAGAATTATGACATTTGAAGACGACAATTTATTGCTGCCAGAAACTTGTACGTTTTCTTATTCAAAATTTATATTGCATTTTTTACGAAAAACTGAAAAACTTTGTTTTTCTCTTTGTTCTGACGACTGCTTACATATTAACGAATTTCATTCGTACAGTGCTACTTATCTTTCCTTCGAAAATGTTTAAATGGATCTCGAATGCTAATGTTACGAGTTTCAATATTCGTGTATAGATATTCTTTCTGACAAAATATGCGATGCACAAACTCGAATTGTTTCAGCGAATAAACGCAACGTCACGCATATGTGAACTCCGCTTTCGAAGAAATTCTTTTATTTTACGTTTTATACAAATTACGCAGAAAACAACATCCGAGCAAAGGTGCATGAGTCAGCGACGCGCGTTCAACCGAATACGCGCGTAAAAAAAGAAATAAAAGATCCTCACACGTGAAAAAAGTACCAACCTATTAACGCATGCGACTGTTACAGTGAACAAGTGGTGTATCATGAATTACAATATGGTACTTGTTCAATTATATAAAAACGAACAAAGAGAAGATAAGATTGTCGTATTACGTGCAAACTAATTGCGCGCTGACAATATTTAATATTAATGTGATATACATACGTACAAGCAGTAATCGCGTTCCGTTCTTATTTTTATCTCAATATTTACAATGATTCATAGCAAAAATCGTTCACGATACTTGCTTTCTGTATCATTCAAACCACGTTCTAAATATTAACTCTTCGCACAAGAAATAGAAGTGTCTTTAAAAAGAGTAATCTTCCTCCAGGATTTTCAACTTATTGCATCATTAAAGTCTGTTACGTGCATAATATAATTTGTATGCATATGTCATATTTTTGCAGAGAAAATTAGAAAAATACTGCCTGTGGACGATTTTTTATTGTGACCCGTTGTATATATCCACGGCTTTTATTTCGTTTGAATTCAACGTCGTACGTACTACAATTAATATGTAAAAGCAGTAGGGTACTTTTATGTAGCGTAACATGATTTATATTTCCATTTGTGTTTTTATTCTGTTAATTTCTCATATAATACTAACAAAAACATTTAATTACAAAACATGGGCGTACGGTTGTGTAGTGTATCGTCTCTTTCTGCGTGTATATCATGTAATTATGTATGCTTGTACGCAGTAGGTACATGTATAATATGTATCGTATGATGAAAGCAGTTACGTGTTTCTATGTGGTATGCATATCATCTGGTTAATGTAAATATTTTACGATTACTTCATAAGTTTTCTACAATAAGTAGATGCATTTTTATAACGACAATTTGCACGCCGATAGCGCGTAATAAACACCATCTCAGTTTTCCGCAGCATCTCTTCGGTTTCAATTTTACATTCATCGTGATTTCGTCTTATATGGGCCCCTACGACCAATTCCGTCTATGTATAATCTATTCTGATGAATATGCGAACGCAAAAGAGTTAAAAACGCTACTATAGTATGCGATACAATAATATATCATAATCGATACCTCGATATTAGTCGTTATAAATAGGTTTTTTTTTTTAATAATTATTTGTCCAAACACTGAATATTTTACAACAGCCATCGATCTCAACTATTCGTAATTCTATTAAACAGTTTGCAACTTTTACAGTTTCCATTCTTTTCTTTTTAATTATTTTAATATTATGCGTAGCGTGTCTGATCCAATATCATATCAATAATAGGGATATATCATAAATTTTGTAATTTGCTAAAAAATATTCTCTAAAAAATATGTCGACCTAAAGATTATTATGACTGATAATCACAGACAATTTTTTTAATTTTCCTTTCGTTCCCTTTTCTTTCTTAATTTCACAATAGTAATTATTATTTATCTTTCTTTTGTTTCATCGTCTTTCTTTCTCCTTTTAAACAAGTACAATATTCAAAATTCTATGTTTCGTTTACACATTAGAATAATACTATTTTTTTTTTTGTTTATACATGATGATTTAAAAAGCGTTTCACATTTTAATCTTTTCCCTTTAAATTTCTTATCACTTTCTATTAAAAAAATGAAGAACCCAATGACTCGAAGAGGTGAAATTTTCGATTTGCAAGAGAATACAACGCTGCGATGTTCTGTAATCGTCATAAAAACGTAATTAACGGACGTACACAGTTCAGTGAGTAACTTAACCACTCGTTTCATTATCACACCAGAAACCAGCAAATGTCCAACACATCTATTACCTAGGGCGAATTTGTCTCCAGGTAAAAGAATGCACATACATGTCGAGTTTCGTGGTTATACATGTATATACTTACATATGTATAATATAGACCTGTTTTTTCCTCTCTAACGACAAAACTTTTTGCTTTCTTCTTTCACACGAATCACTTTTCAAAGGTGCTGACAGGTGTGTGTGTATGTGTATGTGTGTGTGTGTGTTTGTGTAGTTAAACAAACGGTGCGCAATATGAGTAACGGTGTATTATGCTATCTCTTCTTGTGTAGATTATAATAATTAATTGATAATATTAATTAACAGTAATAATGAAGGCTGATTGCGTAATACTAAAGAGCTTCTCCGATGAGATTTCATAAGAAATCCGTTAAAAGATACAGAGAGTATGTTTCCAGAATGAAAAGAACGCTCGTTTAAACTCTTTGAGAAGTTAGAGTAGTCGGGTTACATTACACGATTTTTCTTTATAGGTATCCTGTCACAAGGGTTACTAAAACTACATTTTGTTTTTTGCTTTCATCCCCACCTTCGGAGTGTAGGATATTTTTATATGGATTTCATAAATAAAAAAATAATTAAAAAACAGTGTTCTTAATTTGTCTACCGGCACGTGTAAATATATATATACATACACATACGTATTATATGTATATATACATATGTACTCGTTATTATTACAGTTACGATCACCATACATATTACGATCCGCGATAGGAATATAAAATATACCGAAAACACGTCGCGTATATTTTATAATTCCACACTGTTCTACGGTGATGTCGTGTAACGCGTTTACGAGAACGCATGTTTACTTTGTTCTCTTCGGCAAGAGAAAAGGATCCTTTCTTTTTTTTCCGAACCGTAAAAAAAGCTGACAGATTCGTATCTTTTCAACAACATTAGACCATCGTGTGCACCATGTTCTCTAAAATCATGTTTTAATTCAATTAGTACATCTCTTGTTAATCCTAAAACCGTCATCCATAAGTATAATAAATATCAATAAAATATCTAACATTGCTATTATATCTTCAAGTAAATTACCTTTCTTACGTCGTTATTACCATTTTTTTACATATTAAAATTAATTATCATTTATATTAACAATAATTATTTTCTCAATAATTGTTATTAATTATTGGTAATAATAAGAAAAAAGAGAAAAAAAGATTCCTAAAAAATGGCAATTTCTCGTGACCAGAACAAGTTTACACATTTTTTTCTCTCCTCGTTTTATAACTTTTTACAAATCAGCATACGCATTTTGTACCAAACCAGGCCGATTAAAATGTTTTGCACGATCGATGATTACTCGCGTGCACAAATAATATTCCTGCCATCATCCACATCTTTATATTACTTCTTTAAATAATTCGCGATTCAATATTCCTTGTATAACATACGTTTCTTATTTCTTTTTTTATTATCAGACTCTCTTCCGCTGCCGCCTACTTATATTTCTCTTACTCTAGGCCATTTTTCGTATAAAGTGCACTTAACGGTGTCCACGGAGCACCAAATTTTAAGGGGCAACCACCTCCGGCAGAAATTGATTAATCGCACTAAAACACCTTCGTCGTAGCTTAATGAATTCATAGATGCTATTACGGTTTCCTTTTCTTTTTTCCCAAGTTCGAATCCAAGATATCGGGCGGTACACCTAACTCTATCACCGGGTTCCAAGCGTAGGTACATTAAAGGTAAGGCAAAACTGCATTTCACAGAAAGGTGTTTCTTACGGAATACGTAATTTTCACACGTATATCCATAAGAAATTTCAAATATATTTCTATAAAGAACATTCGTAATTTTTTCCCAGTGTGGGAAAATATATCACAAACATTTTCTAGAAGCCATTTCTAGAAAAGTTTTACTCGAAACAATGATCGAATTATTTCTTTTCACAGTTGCCTCTTTAGAATGTAGTTAAAAAATCTGATAACAGAAAATCACGCATAAGCAATGATGGATCAGCGGTTTCGTAGTTTCTATGAAATAAAAAAAAAATGATTCGCGTCCTTCAGCGAATTACGATCGTTAAACATAAAAATAAAAGGAGATTAATATTACAATATTGGCAAGGCGGAAGCACAAACATATGGGTGCATCGTTTAAATATCTATAAAAACGTATCAAAATAATATTGCGCGTACATAAATCTTCGTATGAAACGAACGAGCAGACTTCTCGATTCCTTCAAGGAAGCAAAGCCTTCGTTTCCCTATTTTCTTTATTTCCTTTTCGTCATCTAAAACGTCATCAATGTCTGCCAAAGTAGGTACTCCTTCAAACAGCATCCCACGCTAGGAAACTGTTCCTTCTTGTCTCTGTCTTTCTTTCCCTCCTGTCACTCTTTCCCTATCTCTCTCACACTCTTTCTCGCGCTCGCATTCTTTTCTCCCTAACATGTATACATGTATATTACTTAACTTTAAAGTGGTAGCTGTACTTACGTGAAGACAATGTCTAATTCTAACAATTACATATTTTACAAGAACGCTTGAAATCTAGCCCTACATCAGACATGAAATGTCACGAAGTTAGTCGTACACTGTACACTAAATTTTATATAGATTCACATAAAACTTTCGTTTAAAAATATTCAACCATATATATCGTTACATGTAAAATTTAAATTCACAATAAAAGTAGTATGCCCTTTATAATTAATTATTAGTTCGTCTCGATATTCATAGCGTAGTAATGCATCGTTATTACGCTCGAGTATACATATAGTACGTGTAAAGGAAAGTAAGTCATAGAACTGCGTATTAGTTCAGCTTTCCTTTAAGTACTTGTCTCATTTTTGTGTTAATGTATTTTGTGCAACATCGTACGTCTCGGCTTGGTTCGATCACGTACGACCTCAAGATAATAAAAGTATATGTAAAGAGGAAATTTACATACATATTTATATTATATTATATATATATGTGTGTGTGTATATATATATATATATAAGTATAAGCTAAAAGCACTTCAGATTTAGTGTAAAGTGACGATAACTTGTACACTTAAGCCTCGATAGTAGATAATAAAGTAAGTAGAATTCTAGAAGACGTGCACGAAAGCACAGGCGTGTGGATAAAGTAACACTTTCATGAGTCTTGACGCGATACGAAGCACGCGAGACCTTACTGGGTACGAAAGCAGGACATATTCAATCATTTATTGCTATAAATATACCCCCTTCTTAACCCTCAACGGTCCCACATCGCAAAGATTTCATGACTGTCACGTGATATTGTGTCCCCAGTCGATATTCCGTTAAAGATCATTCTTTTGATTGAGAAATTTTACTGGACATAAATTAAACGCTTTAAAAAAACTCCATTTAATCATGCCATCAAATTTTAAGCCAGTATTAAAAATGATTAAAAAAAAAACAGAACAAAGTTTAAGTGCTACTTAAAATACAACGCGTATTTAAAATTGAAATTAAAATTAATTAGTGTTACCGTCATCCCGGATGACCGTCAAGGGTTAAATCAACTACGAAGTGTAGTCGTTTAAAGTAACATTGTCATAACGCGATGTTTCACGATATCTATGTATGTATAATCTGGCCTTCTAATATTTTAAAATGTGTATAGTCTATTATTCCTTTATATAATAATAAAAAGCTGCGATCTCTGAAAATAGTTTGATGATTAAAATGAATAACGTTCAATAAAATGAATTCTATACCGAAGCGCGCATAATTATAGCACGTTATCATTTCTTTCTTTATCTTTTCTTCGCTGTGCCGGCCGGCCGCTCACCATATTTGTATGCAATCTCAATTGAGGTATTTGCGGCATCTGCGTGATCCGCAGGTACACGGAATCTTAATATCCTCGAAGGGAAATTTGTAGTCGTATGTCAACTCTTCCCCTTGTATGATGCGACGGAGAGCAAAAATTAAAATGTGTTTCTTACCTAGGATGTCCACCACTCGCGAGTAACAGTTCGGCTGAAATGTAATTTACAAAATGTACGAAACACATTTACAAATAAATGCATTTAATAAAAAAAATATGCATGATCGGTAATAAATACCTCGCACGAGTGATTGATAAATCTAGCTGCGTTTCCTTTCATCGTAGCATCAACGACAAAATGATCATCGATTTTAAACATGTAACATCCTATGTTTTTACTATCATAATATTTCTCTCGTTTGTCAGTTAAGGAGGCTCGAATCACCTGTAAATATACATTAATAAGTTGTTAAAGACTATTGTTTACAATACATTGATAGACGAACTTTCGTGTGACGAACATCAATGTGAATCATTAGATCGAAGGAAGTTTAATAAATAACAATATTTTATTGTTGCTTTACACACCTCGCCTGCGTATTCGATAACCATCTCTCCAGCTTCGATATCTCTCAGACAAAATAAACCTCGACCATGTATGTGAGAATGATACACTCCAACTGATTCCTTCGATGTTTCTTTCAATATTCTGAAGCGCATCGCCATTGGTAAATTTGTGCTCGTAACTCGTCTGTAATGATGAACAAAATATTACTTTGTAACAAATTACAAAATATCGAAAACGTACAGAATGTTAAAGTGGGTCGATGTTAACATTTTCATGGCACATCGATATCTACCTGGCTTCAGCTTCCGATATTGAGATCATTTTTGGTTGCTGTCTGTGTCTCGAGGCGAGCCAACTGAACATGTCGTGAACTTTTCTTCCCTTGAATGGCTCTGCGCGAGCAGCTCCGTTATCGCACGCTTTCAGCAGATCGTTTTCGGTCTCACCCGGCTTAGGCGGCGTCAAGTTATGAAACCTCGGTTTGTACTTGGTACACCGGTTCACTTTCGGTAACTGCTCGACCAAGTAGACCGTGGCGTTGTTCTCCAGACCCAAATTTTCGATAAGTGGATTATGCGGCAATGGAGGCAAATTATGGGCCTTCCGAGCATTTTGTACTGCCTGGAACACGGTCTCCCATACTTCGGCCATCGAGGAAGCGGTATGAGTGAATCCATCCTGCGACCTAATTTCGTACATCAGTGTAGGTCCCTTCGAGGCGTTCTTCTGGGTTAGCGTAGTCGGTGGAGGCGGTTGTACAGATTTAATCGACTTGCTGATTACTCTAGGCTTTTTAACAGCCACCGGCGGAGTTTTAGTTTTCAACAAGTTGAACTTGTTGTTCTCAATAGGTTTCACCTTCTCCTCGATCTTGTTCGTTTTCAACGTAAACGTTTTTATCGGCAACAATTGCAAGGAAGTTATCTGTGGCACCTGTTTCGATGGGAGTATCTCAACGGACGTTACCTGCGGCGACTTTTTATTCTGCGTTACTGCTTTCATGTTGTGTGTGATTTTGTAAGAACCATCCTGCAGTTGCTTTTGTAAAACTATTTTCAGCGACGCATTCTGCAGTTTCTCTCTGTCCAGCTCTAATTTCAGATTCTCTTTCACCTTCTCGATCGTCTCGGTGTTCAGCTTCAGCGTTTCGTTTATGTTGTTTATAGTTGTTTCGGGTTTCTTGACTGTCGGCACCACAGCCTCAACGATTTGCTTCTTCGCTTCCGCGAGCTTCTGTTCCGGTTCTGCTGGTTTGATTTCTGGTTTCGTTGGTTCCTCAATAATCATTTCTGTTTTCTGTATCGTCTTGGTTGTGTCTTGTTTCGGAGTAACAGCCTGCATGGGTAGCACTCTGTTCATCGGCCGACTCGTCGGAACATTGCTCGTAGACATAGTAATCTTATTTTGTACGCTCGAGTTAGCGATAACTGGATTATTACTCGTACTTACATTAATATTGTTTGAATTTGATACACTACTAAAATTATTATGCACATTATTTACATCATGATTCAACTTATTTACAATTATATCCCTCTGTGTTATACAGTGATTAGGTAATGGGGGTATCTTCGATGATATGCTAGACTTTATCATACTGGTATTTTGCGACACGTGTTTCGAGTCAAAATATGGTCGTATACCGTTGCTCATCATCTGTTCCGAACCGAATAACGATTCTGTAATCTTCCACGGTCCACTATTCGGTTGCGTAACAGAGTTCGCGGCTGGACTCGGTCGTACGGCCACTCTCGGTATCGTTGGTATTGAATTCTGCGACAATTTCGGAGACGACGCCGCGATCGGTGCTACTTGAGGTTCAGACGGGCAAGCGTCCGGTAGTTGTATCGGTGTCACCGGTTCCGTAAAGCTTTGACATGATACGGGCAACATAGCATTGCATGTAGCGGAGGCAAAGTTTCGTTCAGGTATCGCAGGTATATTAATCTGCGACGGCGTTACTATGGGCTCCGATTGCGCTGTTGGCTTTGGCTGATTCATGACCACGTAACCACTGGGTACTGTAGATATACTGGACACGTTCCCCATACTGGGCGGCAAGGTGGGAACGTTGGATACGTTTTGAACAGCGGACACAGCTGGTATGTTGCTTATATTAGAAGTATTAGGTAAAGCGGGTGTATTAGGCATATTGGATATATTAGATACGTTAGGTATACTGGGACCGATAGGTAAATTAGGTATGACGGGAGCAGTGAGTATGTTCTGTACATCAGATACGCTGGGTATGTTAGGTACACTGGATGCGCTGGGTAAATTGGATACACTAGGTACATTGGATGTAGTAGATATCGTAGGTATGCTGGGTACGCTAGGCATACTAGGTAAGCTTGGTACTGTGTGTACACTGGACACGTTGGGTATATTCGTTATGCTCGGTATATTGGATATATTAGATACACTGCATGCGGAGGATACAGTGGGTATAGTTGGTATAGCAGGTACACCTGGAGCATTAGGTACATTGGTGACGCTAGGTACGTTGGGTATGCTGGCTATATTGGTCACGTTGGACATGTTGGATACGTTGGCAACGTTTGGTACATTAGGCACGCCAGGCACTCCACCGGGTACGCTCTGAACAGATTGCACTGCTGCCACAGTGGGTACACCCGGAACGGCTTGAACATCGACGAGAGGCTCCATGAGTTTCGAAGCTTGAAAAACTTGTGTCGTCGTCTGGTAACTGCTCGCTAACACTTGCGGCACCGCGCCAGCCATGAACTGACTGGAAGACATCACCGTATTGCTGACGATAGTCTCCAAACCGTAGTACATCGGTTGATTCGAGAGAAACATACTGCCCGTCGAATCTGTGAACATCTCTAGCGTCGGCGTCGAACTTAAAAGTAGTTGTTCAGACGATATGACTCCGCACTGAATTGCACTAGGTTGCTGTTGTATAATCGTTCCAAGAACCGTCGGCTGCGGCTGAGCAATTTGCACGCCTGGCAATATCGATATACCTCCGTTTTGCAACGCCAACAGGTTGTCGGAAGATGCTTGTATGTATGCACCGGGAACCAAGTGATTGGTCGTTATGAATTGAGGTTTAAAAGCGGCTTCATGCTGTCCACCGATCGTTGTTACGTACTGCAGATTTTGTCCAGACTGTTGTTGCAATGTTTCAACGTACGACATGATGCCTGGAGGCGTTTGCTGCAATATCACAGTTGGCGCGCTCGGTCTTTGAGCTTGCTGCAACTGTATAACCGGAGCGTTGTTTTGCACCGGCTGAAACCTAGCGTGCCCGTTGTGAGGTTGTATAGTATTCTTTGCGATCTGCGTTTTAATTCCTTTTGTTCGAGACTTCGATGCTCTCGGTGATTTCGCTTTAGCTAATTTTATTACTTGAACGTTAGCCGACTCGTTGGCCGCCGTTTGCACGCCGGTAGACGAAAATGTAGGCGACACCTGCGGACTCGGAATCGTTCGAGGACTCGCACTGTTCGGGGAATTCATAGGAGTACTAACACTGTTTGGTGATCTGCTAGAATCACTGCCGACTGATGGTGCGTCTGTAATTTCTGTTATTTGGACACTACTTTCTTGGGGTAATACCGTGGTATTTGGTAAGGTGGTCGTTGTTCTGGTATATTGTGTCTGAACGATCATGTCGTTTGATGTCAGTACCGTTTGATGAACAGTTTCCACGGTAGCGTGTGTATGAATTTGTGGTGTAATAATTGCTTGAGCGATGGGTTCAATTTGTATGGCTGGATGAGGCGACGGTACAGTAGCTTCCAAGGGCGAAGTGGCTTGAATATCAGGATAGTCGGAGGACAGAGTATGACCTTCAGATGGAGATAGCGTTATAAATTGCGGGGATACGGATCCGATGCTCGGAGAAAATCTAGAATCAGGCGATGTCAATTTGTTGTCCATAGTTTCCGAATCACTGTCGCTTGTTATCATGATATCACAATTCGATACGTGCCTATTATAGCTATCTTGCGTTCTGTAGGTGCAACGGCAACGTTTGCACGTTACCGGATGATCTATGTGATCCAACGGTGTCTCGCATTGAGAAGTAATCTCGGATCTTGCGTTTTGAACGTGTTGCGGTGATATGCATTCGTCATCACTGGATATATCGTCAGCTCCATCTAATTGGGGAATCTTTAAATTCATCTTTGAATTATTCTCTTTGAAATGCGGTTGATCAGAAAAATCGTTTTCTTTTGCTTTCTGTAATTTATCACTAGACTTCGTAATATGTGATCTAATTAATCCATAGATTCGTTTGGATCGCAATGTGTTACTGGATTTTGTACAAGAATTGATATCCTTCTCAGCGAATAAAGCGAACTCGTCGCTATCGCACGAGGACTCGTCATTGATACCGTCCAACTGAGGAATCGATAAATGTTCCGGCACGCGTAACCCATCGGTCTTCTCCTCGATGTTGTATTCGGGTGAGCTGCACTCACTGGCGCTGCTTGGATCGACGGTTCCGTCAACCTGCAATATTCGCGGCTGTTGCCTTGCGTGCCAGAAGAGTCGTTTATGTTCTTTTCCTTCTTCACGACCAGTAGATATTACTCGGCGATTAACTCCACTGGCATCTTCGATACAGTACTTCAATTCTCGCATAGAATCCGACAAAATATTTGGCGTGTTCGTTCTGCCCACGGTGACCATGATGCCATCCGGAATCCTCAACTCGTGCAACGTAGGCGGCCGTTCATTCTGCGAGTCCAATACCATTACGTTACTTTCGTTTGATTTTGTCATGGTCGCGTTTCGGGATAATTTTCTTCTCTTAATGGCGGGCCCGTAGGTACCGTCCAATTTACAGCTCCAAGTTAAACTGCATGACCGTTGATGGTGCCTCTGTCCGCCAACAATTAGCGGACTGTTGGACATCACCTCTGATTTCGATCGTTTCAGTTCTCTACCACCATGTTTTTGATTCTTCGAACTGAACAGATCATCCATTAAATCGTGGACGGAGGCTTTAGTTTCCAAATGCACCCACAGATCGTTGTGCGATCCCAATTCCACTGAAGCGGGATCGACTTTCGAGATTTTACTTTCGGGCGGTTTTATAATCTCATCTACTTCAGGCGTCAGCATGTCGTCCTTGAATAAATCGGTTGCAAATGATCCGTCGTTCTTCAGATCCATTGCTAAAAGATCTTCATATGTCAAAAGTATATCTTGCATTGATATACCATCTAATAAGTCGTGGGGTAACTCTTCGAATATAGCTTCCGTTAATTCTGGAGGTAGAAGATCTGTATTGTTTTGTTCTGCTAAGTTTTCATCGACTTCCTTGTTGCAAACTGCATCGACCAAAGCGTCTAAGGTTTGTTTCACAGCTAAATATTCGGTTTGTACCGTATTTAATGCATCCTCTTTCTCTCGTTCTTTTGAATGATCGATAGTTATATTATTTTCCAAATCAGAAGAAACTTCCGGTGCGTACACTTGTATGTACGTTCTGATATAATATTTAACAATTTTGAATGGATTCACCGTGGACCAGTATAGCCGGGAACATTTGTAATCGCATGGTATGATTTTTTCGATCGCATCGGAGTATTCAGGTCTTATGGTGCCCAAGCAATCTATCGTCAACGAACCTATCATAACTTTCACTTTATTCGGTTCCGCAAACTTTTTCTTCTTACGATCCAATTCCACATATACCGGTCTTCGTAGACTGAATTCGCTATCGTTTTGTAATGTCTTATGCGTACAATTATTTAAATGCGACGAACAAAATACTGTTTTATCATCGTTGAAGGCAAGCCCAACGTTTCTCGCACAAGGATAGTGGAAGGTACTGTTACAATTTTTCGCGCAACAACCAACGCTCGCCCCCTTCTTCCCGCATTCCGAACAACGAATTAATCGACCTCTTGAAATAGCGCTGTGAACATTTTGTAAAGAACCATCGATCTCTTCATACACTTCGTTAGACCAAAGAGCACAATTCGAGTGTACCCACTCGTTCTTCCCGCAATACAGCAGCCGACCTTCCTTCGTTTCTAAACCGTCGCCCAAGCCTTTGCACAAACAACATGATCTACTGTCCTCAACAGAAACGTTATATAAATTTGCCGTTTTAGCCGCGATCGCTTTCGGCGCTTTCATCACTTCTTCCTTCCATACTTCTAGAATCGAATCATCGAGCTTTGTGACTGAACCATCAGCCTTATCAGCCTCCCTGGGGGGTGTTAACGTACCGCTTTTCTCGTTGTCATTTTTAATACTTTTTGGACTGAACCATGGAAATACTTCCCGTAGAATTTCGTAGTAAGCATCGGTAAGTTCCTTGTTTCGGGTACGATTGATTATATGCTCCAGGTCGCAATGAAACTGTGACAACGTTTTGTATTCGTTATTGTTCACTTTCCGTTTGGCCGACATCAGTGTAAGCGAAGGCCTAACGATAATTTGCTGATCCGAACAATGGCATTCAATATCGTTTGAATTACTATTCGAATTTTCTTGAATTATTAAATCCTTCTTGTCACCGTCTTGAGTATCTTTTATCACACAATTCCTTACGCGAACCGAACATTCTTTTAAATGAAACTTTTGACGAAGGCGTCTTAAGCCTCTTCTATTAGAAGAATCGCTTGCCTGATCATCGTCCACCTTATTTATCGAATTGGATTTCGAATTATTGTTCAATGTAAATTCTATACTTTTTACTTTCTCGTTACTATTCTCTTCACTGTCTTCCAAACTGAGACCTTCTTTACCGCTTACTACATTCGAATCGAATTTTTCATTCGAAAAATCCAATTTTCTTCCATTAGAAAGAGGCCTGCACGAACATTCCTTTCTTGGACTCCATTTCAACGCAGCACAAGCCTTCTTATTTTTACTTAACGATTTTATAACTCCTATAAAACCAGCTTTAAGTTCAGCTTCTATAGCGTTTCTCCAAATAGAATTAGGATTTGAAGAGCATTGGCTGCACGTGAACTCGATGGTATCCGGTAAATAACTAAGGATTTGATAACGCTCGTCGGAAAGTCCTTCGCAGTGAGCGTGTACCCAGTAAGAACATTCGCTACATTCCATCATCTGAAAAATAAAATGTGAAAACAGAATTAATATAAGTGAGAAGAACATGCTTTCTTCGCGACTCCATATACGTCTAAATCTCTATGATTCAACATGCAGACATGTGAATAGAATTAGTATATAGCCCACCTTTGTATCGAAATCATTTTCGTTGTAACATCTTTGACACAGAGGACAATAGTTCCCTTGCTGACGTAATTTAAAACACATCGAGCATAATGGTAAGTTGCCTACATGAACATTGACTCCTTCGCTACCACAGCTTTTGCACTTTACACAACTTTGACACACGTACGGCCTCTCGGGACTGTAAAGTCTCGCGCTGACACCGGACTTCGACAAGCACGAGTGGTGAAACGATTGACGACAACGAATGCAAGACAATTTCGGACCAGATCTTAGATGACAGGATTGGCATATCGTACATCGAGGACAGCACCAGTTTGGTTGAGCACAAGCATTCCATTCACTAGGTTCCAAACAAAAGGCATGATACGGTTCGCAACAGCACTGACAGTGGATGAGCTGGAAAGATTTGTTACAATGTACAATTTTACAGGGTACTGTACATAAAGGATAATTCATTTAGAATAACGATCCACTTTAATAGTTCTATGCTCCATAACTTCGTATTATGTCGGAAACTTTTCCCTAAGAATAGTGTGTTACTTACTGGCTCCTTTCCCGCACTTCCACAAAGGTAACAAATAGCAGGAATATGAAAGAGTTCCGAACCAATAAGTGCAAAACCTTTTTGTCCTACTTCCGAAGGATCGTATTGTTCCCAAAAGTCTATAGATACCGTATGTAATACTTCATTGTTTGTTTTAGGTACCTAAAACACATAATCAATCATCTTTACAAATAGCATGTATCGAAATATAGATTTTGACTATAAATGGAGCTGACTTGTTTTTACATTTAATATTCTTGAACAGTAGTGATTTATGTTTGCTTACCACTTGAAAATTTGACGTTGATACGGTTTGTTGCGCTTTTCCTCTTTTTGGATACGATTGCTGCGACACGTTAATAGCATTATAATTTACAGTATTTTCGTCGTTCTGTTTTTGGGTTTCTTTTTCTCTCATTTCGTCCTTTTTCTCATTTTTATCCGTTTCCTTCGAAGTTTTCGGAATGTGCTTATTGCTTTCGGTGTCTACTTTCCCATCAACCATGGGAAAAGTGGCGATCGGCTGACCAAGAGCTACGCTCGCACTTCGACAAACGTGTTTAACTCTTGGTCCCTTTAAATCGAGTCTCTGCCTCAGAGGTTGTGGGCATTGGGCCAAAGACGGCGAGGAGAACATCGGATTCTTTAATTTCTTCCTCACTTTTATCCTGTTATTCTTTCTTCTCTTTTTATTAGGTGATATATTCAATGATGAATCAACTGTAAAATATAAAGCAAACGTTTAAAGTTAGTTAAAAAAAAGCTACTTATAAACATACAAATCTATCGCATCAGGTGCGCATCTAACACAGCAAAATCAATAACTTACGCTTATCTAACTTTGTATACAGGAAACCACCAGTTCCTTGATAGCTAGCTTTCTGACCTATTTCTATGCTCCTCCAACTCATGGCTGATTTGAACAAGTTCTTCTCTGAATTGTCTTCTGCTGGCCAACCTAACTTAGAAGATATCAATTTCTGTCCTTGATTATCATTATCCTCGTGAGTCAATGTCAGCGGGATACTTAAGGGATCTCTCATCATTGGTGGCAGCAATGCGTTCAAGCCTGTTCGTAGCGAAGATGGAATGTTGTAGCACTTCAAACACATCTTTAGCCAACAAGCCGGACACCTAGCTTTGTAAACACATCTCATGAGATTCCATTGTTGACTTCTTACAACAGGCGGTACCAAGCACAAGCCATCGCCCTTGTGGCATTGGAGGGCTGGAAGCGTGCTGTTCGTTGACTTTGCACAAGCCTGTCGTTTAATCATTTTACTGATAAACTTCCGACAAGACTCGCAACTGTGAATACCGAATTTTCGAGCTTGTTTCACGAACCGATAAAACCGTACAGCACCGCAAACACCACATTTAATAGTACCTGTCAAACCTACGGCATTATAAAAATTCAAATTATTTTGTTTAATATAATCTCACTTAAAGTTATCGAAAATCCAAAACGCTGTTTTAGATATCTTTATGAAATATTATTTTTTGGAAAAGATTTCTAGTAGAATTGTAACAAGATAGAATGATGATAATATGTACCTAAATTAGTATTTCCGCCTGTAATACCATTGCCATTTGTTGTTGAGAAAGGTCCTTCAGTTCCACCAACACATTTATTATCTAATTTTAATCTCGCTTTCCTTAAGATAACTTTCCCGCCGCTTAACTTCATCCCAGTCCACTCGGATTGTTCATCTTCAGTGTGGTTACTGTGTTCACTTCCACTTTCTGACGATGTACTTTCCGTGTCAAAGTTATCCGAATTTCCCTCTGCAGTTTTACTCCCATTATCGACGTTATCGTGATTTCTGATGCCAATATTTTTCTTCGTTCTCGTAGCATCTTCTGAATTTGTTTGACTGGCATCTAAATCAGCGGCGGTTTCACTCTGAGCTCCTGACCTCGTCTGAATCCTGGAAGACTCTGAACTTGGAACATCAGAATCGGGAAGAACTTTTATAGGAACAGAAATTTGTTTCTGGCTTTTAGAGTTCGCAACTGCCAATTTTCCATTTTGATTTTTCCTGATTACATTTTGCGTACCGTCTTGCACGCTAATAGCTTCTTCGTCAGGTGAATTTTTCACTATTTTGTTCTTATTCGATAAATTAGTCCTTTTAATTTCCGCATTAGTAGTTTTCGTTACTTGTGCGTCTTGTGCAGATGATAATTTTTCAGGATTCTTCACAGATTGCATCACAGTTTGGCCGTTAGAATTTCCATTCTGAGCCACCTTTTTGGCCTTGCTCTTGCCCTCTGCGTCTTTCGGTTTTGTACACGGTCTACCAATATTCCCATCTTTCAATTTCGTTTCCTGATTACAAAGTTTGTTTAATGCAAATTTAGCTTTTTTCACATGCGTGCCAACTTCATTCTCACTATGCTCCGCTCCAGAGATCTCTTCCAATTCTTCGATAAATCTTTTATTAGGTTTAATAACCCTCGACGAATGAGCACTTCGAACTGGTAAAATGAATTTCCTTACAGCATTCGATTTATCTACGCATTGTGCCGTCATATTACGCACATTGTTACTGTTAGATTTTGCCCTCTGCAGAAGTCTCTTCGCGGTACTATTATGCAGCTGTCTTGTACGTTGATCCAAGATATTGTTTACCGATTTTAATATAGGTGTTTTTATGAAGTTGGAGAATTTCAAGTTTTTACCATTTTTACGACTCTTGGGTCTGGGAAATTTGACAGTATGTTTGGAATTTACGACCGTCACATCCTTTTTAATATCCTTCTCTGCCGGCTTGCTATTTTTATCACATAAATTTTCTGTATTATTTTCAGTGTTCGATGGAGAACTTTTAGTATCTGTGATGTTTTGTTCAGCTTGTTGCGGTATGGGATTAGTAGCAGCATCAGGTGGTGATTTAACGGTTGTATTCTCTGTGTCATGTTGTTGAGTTTTTATATATGACACTGAAAGATTAGCCTCTTTAGTGCTAAAACCATGGAATGGTGGATGTTCCTATGGAGAGCAGAGAAAATATCAAATGTTAGTAACAACAAATTATTTTATACTTATTATTCTTGTTTGTTTTGATAACATTGACTCGCTAGTTACAATATTTCACTTTTCATAGCAAACCTATTTTAGTATATGATTTCACTGCAGTAAAAGGTATACAACAATTTAGAGGTATATCGTAATAAGATATACATCACAAAGTTTACATATTATTTCGGATAACGAGAAGGGAAGAAATGATGTAAATAAAATCTGTTTACAAAATAATAGCAGGATGTAAATAAAGTAATTTCATTGTAGTGAACGATATCAATTACAGTGGTACGTCAATGCGTATTATATTGTACACATCTGCCATTCCGACTGCGATTTCCATTGAAGAGGTTAACTTTCGTTCTATAGCCAAATCTTTTGGCCCTTCTGACTACCGATACAGTATTGTATGCATCCTAGCGACGCTTATAAAACGAATACAATCGTACTCAGCTCGAAAACGGATTGTTTATACGATGACTCAGATTACGCAGCGTACGCCGAGCATACCCAGCGAGAGTAAACTACGAATTTACCTTCTCGTTGTCACCAAATGTTTCGTTGAACAGGGAAAGTCCGTAGTAGATGTTCTCGGCGACGGTTACCGAATCGGTTTGGGCTGTCTCGGGCTGGCCGAGAACTTTAATCCGTTTCCTGGTGACCGTCTTCGGCGGCTTTCCGGGAAACTTGGACCTTCCCATGTTCACTTTTTTCAACGGCCAACCTCAACCTCACAACGAAATTCTGTTTCCATTTTACGCGATTTTGCCCAGTCGAGGCGCACCAACTGAACACCAACGAACGTACCACGCAACACACACGGAACTCACTCACGGGCTTCGTTAAACATCGGTTAACGTCGGCTAAATTCGATGATAGCCCGCAAAATACCGCGCGCGTACTGTCAAACACAGAATCACCAGTACGTAGTAGGTAACGTGGGTACATGTGTTTTCGAATATAGAAACGCGCGCGCATTCGCGTCTAGTGATTTTTATTGGATTGATTCAAGAGCGTATAATGTCCATTTTTAAACGTAACGAAATAAACAGCTTATAATGGGGCTCGACTTTCCCGGAAAGTTCATTAACAAGAATGGATTTTCTTCTCATTCTGTTTCATATTATTCCCGGATCGTTTTTCATGCGTTTACATTGTCCTTACTAGATGTAAACTTACTTTATGTAAATGATTGATCTTAAAATTAATAAAATTTCTCACTCTCTGCTAATAATTTATAATTAAAGAATCAATTGTGAATTCAATTAAATAAAGTTTCAAAATTATTATGATTTAAAATTATTTCACACCTCATTGTCTGTGTTTAATGCGTGCGTTATTAAGCATGCGTAGCTTTTAACTCATTTGGTTTGTGAGGTAACAAAATTATATAGAATTCTCTCGTCATATTCCATATCACATTACCCTATTTTATACCCAAGGAACCTTACCATACCTAAACTTGTTAAATAGAATCAGAAGAATCTCGTATATGATAAGAAGGAATTAATTTTATTCCTCAGATTGATTCAATTAATTTTACTGCGATTCTATTATTTTGTTCTTTCATCTTCTGCCATCTCGTCGAATCAAAATCTCATTTGACGCGATTCGATCCTCCGCTGATTAATTACAAGGAAGCATTAAAAATTATAATCGCATCAGCTCGTTCGTGCTTAGTTACGTGAAAGAGGGTTCGATAAATGAGATGTACACGAATCAGAAATCCGATGTTTCTTGTGCGCTGACCTGTGCTCCATTTAAGAGAGCTTCCATTGATAGATATACCCGTCGAGTACCACTTTCGGAATCGTATTGTACGTACTTAGTGTTACTTATAAAATAATCCAAACGTTTACCACAGAGGTTTCTACGTATCATTATACAAATTCTTTTTTCCAAGTTCCTTAAATTATTTATGCAACGAGACACTTATAGGATACTCATAAAATATCGTGGAAATTTGATAGCCAAGTATTTGTTGCAGACTTATTGGAACGACATGAATAAGCATGAGTATGTTTTCGTAGCGCTTTGAATGCGAAGTAAGTATAACAAAGGTCGATGAAAGCACATAGCACCGTAAATTGGGGCGCATTATAACAGACTAAAGTGTAGCCCACTAATACCGCATCCCACTTGTATCGATCCTTCCATCTCGTAAATATTTAGGTATGTATACGTACGTATTTACTTACTACTACGCGCGTTTGCGCACGCAAATAAACTGCATATTTTTAATAAGGTATATTAATATCGCATTACGTTTCTCCCTCTTTGTACTGCTGCAACCGACTCAGAAACTAAATTACGCTCTGTCAGAGAGAAATATTCATGCGTACCGGCGTTTTTGATCATATTTCGATTTGTGCTTTCGACAAACGCTCAAAGAGACGCTTGGAAATTAGTTCGTAAATGAATACGAATTGCGTCAGAGAAACTTTTAATTGAAGAGAATATATTTAAAAACAGTTATTTTTCAGCATTAACACGAATAATTTCAGCGGATCGTTGCCGGTTCAGCTATGAATTAAGTACATTTCAATGAATATTTGTAATAATGGTTTTGCAATTATCTATGACGATTACGTATAATTCCTTTTAGCCGATCCATTCGCCCACTTTGACAAGTTATCCTATTCGTTCCTAATTGTAAATGTTCCAGCGATTTAAATGAAATAAAACTGTATTTACGAAAAAAGAGAAGAAACGTGCGTGGGTCCGAGAAGAAGAAGAAGAAGAAAAAAGAACGAAATGTAAGTTGTCAGATTGAATCAAATTCAAATTGGAGACGATCTAGCGTGATAGTTTAGCCGCGCGTCGGGAAACCTGAGACTCGTTACGCCGGGTGTAAGTATGTGTATTCGTATTCGTTTTAAGCGGCGAACGAACGAGTTTATCTCTCGATCATTCCGCTCGAAATGCCCAGCCCGAGCGGGTGTGGTACCCGGTCGGTACCCGGCCGTAGTATTCGTTGGGATCGGTCAGCCTAGCCGGTTGTAACGGAGCTATAAGATCTGCTGTTCCGTTTCGTTGCTTTACTTTGCATTGCGTACTTTCTCTACCATCCGCCTATGCCGTCGTTGCCTTGCTGCATACTGTGCTCGCTGCACGGGCTTCACCTCGGCTGGACAAGTGTGCGATCCTAGAAGGATAACGCCTATGTACAGCGGGAGTCAAAAGTGAGAACATCCACCTTTCGGCAACGCAAACTCTGCAAAATTAGTTCAACGAGTCTTACGTACACATACTGTACGATACATGTACCCAGATGTACAAAATGTATGTACATAATGATTAATAAAGAATCTTTTTGAAACGAGTATTTAAATAAATGTTAAATACACTGGATTGAACTTGAACGTCTCTTTTACTGAACTGTTGCACGAGAAAGTAAAAGTCTGAACACTTGGCAGTCTTTCAGGGAACAAACTTAATGTACCAAATCCGATCACCAAAATCAGACAATTAGTTGTTATCATTTGTGTAGATTAATTGTTTTTCTGTTTTATGCAAACGTTTTTTTTCATACGCCGATAAATTTTTGTTATATTTGAAACGTATAATCCAATGAATCCTAAGCACCAGATGTTGTAAATAGATATTAATATTACATGCAACGTATAATATAGTTCGTCCCAGTTATTAGATTCAACCTGTACCTGCTGTGGCTTTACTCGCTGGACCATTTGCGGACCCATGAGAAAGACCGATAAGCACTTATACATATTAATATCTACTACCTACACACGTACTGCTTGCGACCAAACATTTTTTCAGATGCATTTCTGTTCCTTTGATGCATCAAAAATATTTATATGCACAGTCCCATTCGAATCCTGATACTCATAATTTAAATGAAACGTGTCGCAAATATGTGCACACTTTATTGTATTGTGTATGTATATAAGGAAATGAGACATATACGTACAATCATAGATACATAGCAAAAATAACGTATTAGATTTAATTATGTAAAGAATTTTAAATGAACGAAATATAATATAATGAGTATGTATGATGCGAGTCCCTACATAAAAGGGGAAATTTTTGAAAAATAGGTATTAGGGCAACTGACCCTGTACTTTACGCGAAACACGGACGCCTTGCGCAGATGTTTTGCTTCGGATTTGGGGTCGTTCCGTTGATTATACAGAAGGAAAGGGAGACTTGCAAAAGCATCAGGCATGAAATTATGCATTATTAATTCGGTTTCACCCTCTGTATCTCTTGAACGTACTATCCAGTTTTAAGAAATATCGTCATCACATTTTCGTTTCAAACGAAAAGCATTGACTACTTGTCAATTTGGCACTATGGAAATATAAATGGATGGAACATTTTCGGTGGATCAAAAGGAAATTCAGCTATTTGCTTGTCCATCATTGTCACGGGATATTGAAACGGTTTTGAATAATATTCGCGACGCGACGCATCGAAAAATTCAGCCGTCAGAGTTGTATGCATTGTAGTTTTGTATTCATGCTACGTTATGGGAAGCATTACTAACAGAGAGCGACGTTATTATTGCGTACGTACCGTTTTCTCGCTGTAGCCTCGGAATTAATTATAAGATGGATACGTATTACATTATGTACATATACTTAACTACTGGTGAATTCATTTTCTTGCTCCTTTTGTTCGCGGGCCGCACGCACGCCGGGCTTAGAAAGCTGGAAGTTGGTTCATTGTCTCCTTCCGGACGTGAGAAATACGCAACGTGGAACGCTTCATATGACATCCCGGGCACTCGCTCTTCTCTTAAGAGGAAAAAAGTCGCACAACATGTTCGTCGGACAAATGAAACAAAGCTGATCGCATGCAGCGAGATAATTTTATTTTCTAACTATTTAAAACGAAGCTGATTCGTAATTCTCCAAATATTCTTTTCTTTTTTCAATGACAGAACAATAGTTCTATTGGGCCTTTCTGTTTATTATTTAAAAGAGTATGCATCTGCACGAACGACTGTGATCTAGTGATTAAATGACGATATTCGTCGGAACGTGACACAATATCGGCGACGCGTTTTCACGCGCGCCGGTTCGTTAAAATCGCGTTTCCCATGACGATCGGAGACGGAATTATAACGACGCCACTCTAAACAATAATCCACGCGTTGTATCGCATCGAAATCCCTTTCGATCTCACGCCTCCAGCCGAAATATGGACGTATTACTTCCGCAGCAGCGGAATGTCATTAACGAAGAGCCGTCGTTGCTTTACAAATCGTTATATATTTCGAGTCCGTTCCGTCGAGTGGATTTTCCTACCGTGATTATTCGGGAAACGCGTGACCGGCACGTGCGTGCACGCCCGGGATAACCGTCGTGAATATGTATGTGGAAGAGAGACTGCACGCGCGTTTCCATCGATATAGTATGAAAGCGCGCGCGACCGCGAACGACGAGAATGAGTCTCGCGAACGCTTTTCAACCAAAATGCTTTTGCATCGCGAGCGGATCGCGCAATTTACGCACGCGATGAGCGTAGAAAAGCTAGAAGACGGTTCATCGCACCGGACGAACGTGAGAAATATGTACTTAAACCATTCTACTTTTTTTTTACTCCTCCTCCTCCTCCATCTTCTCCTGCCTCTGCATCTCTCTTCGCGTCTCTTCGCGCATACAGTTAGAATCAAAAGTGAGTACAAGCAGATTTTGTTGTTTGCGTGCTCGATACGTCTTGCGCGCGTCGTCGACGTAAACGAAATAAATGACTGAACGGACGCGATCGGTAATTGGAAATCTGATTTCCAAACGTCACGCCGAATTTCGTTGTCGCAACATGCGTACTCGTTTTTGATTGTCACTGTACATACATATGTATGTATGTTACATACAAGTTGCGCAGGTATACTAAACTCTGCTCCGCGTACGAAAAATAAAAGCGCCGCTGCACTTCCCCGCCCCTATTAAACAGGTAGTTGCCGGATAAAAA